GTCATCCCTTGAATGCAGGAGGTCTTCATCGCCAAAGTCGTGAAGTTGATTGAGCAAAGGAACGAGGACTCCCAAGAAATCCAATCTGGATGGTTTACGCCAGATCAGATGAAAACGGAGTTGAAATGGAGCCAGCTCCTCAACAGAAAAAGCTATGTGCATGATGTCCCAACAAGCGAACATCTTTTAAAAGGATTGGTTTTAGATATAGGAATTATAAACATGCGTGATTGTAAAGAATTCATGCATGGAGGAGATGTGGGGTGTGGGGGTGTACAAATCAAGCTTCGTCGGTATGTTAACGCGGTTAGTATTCAACGCAAAAATCTAAAATTGTTTGTGGCTCGGAAACTCTAATTCCCAGACCTGTGATATCTTTGAGTGTGGGTGTTGCTTGACATGCGCCCCTAATTGTATCTTTCATGGAGGAAAGCTGAGGTGTTAATTTTGCCTACCACAAACTGTGTCAACCGGCTATCTCAGGTCCTACATCAAGGATGCCGTGGCTTACTGCAAGAAGCATGGTCTGGTCAAGAAGCTTTGCTTGCAAAATAAGAAGCTGGCCATGACCCGTGCAACCCCCAACCAAAACCTTCATCCCCCTCCATTTTACAATTGCTTAAACTTATTTGGCTTTCTGAACCTGGTTCACCGGCCACTGGAGTTGAGGAACGACAAGTACAGCGAGAAGGTGTTCAAGTACTTTGTCGACTACTCGGACAAAGAGTCGAAGAAAAAGGTCTACACTGAGAGCCAACAGCATACTTCGACTGAGGAGAAGGCACTCATGTACATGCATTAAGAGTGTTGGCTACGTTGCATGGTGAATTCGTGGTATGTAATTTTGTGGGAACTAGTCGGTCGAGGCTAGATGTCAAGGTGACTATGAGTATACTCACTGCAAACAACACAGGGGTAGATTCCCATGCAATATGCAGGCTGAGGGGCCCAAGCTTGCTGACAAGTGGATGACACCTGTGGAGCCTCCCGCAAGTGTGCCGGAGTCTCCAACCCGCCACAAAGCCCAATCACCAGAAGAAGGGGCACTTCAGCTCGCTTTAAATAGGTGTGCGCATGGAATGGTCTCATGTATATATATGTGTGTGTGTATGTTCTATACGTGGTTCTTGAAACGTTGTTTTGAACTGCCAACATTTGCACAGGAAATGGATGCAGTACATGCATGGGATGTAGTTCACATGAATGGGTTATATGCACTTCTGCCCTGTGTGAACTGACCATCTTACTTCACTGAAACCCGTCGGCCATCTTAGGAAATGGAGGTGGAACAGAAGTTCGACCAGGGCATGCTGACCAAGATGAGCAAGATTACGGACTTGATGAGCAAACTCGAGGGGCTGCAGTCTACAGAAGGCTGCAATGCGGATGACCAGACACGGTGCAAGAAGTTCCTAGTCTTATGATATCCCAAGGTTTGTGCCAGGATGCAGGTATATCTATATATATACATATATTAATCGTATATATATATATATATATGCATGGAAACATGGCCTAAACACTCGTCCACCAGTGAAGATTCTACCAAAGAAAAAGACCCTGCGCAAAGCCCGAACATCCCACAGTGACCATCTATGCCCAGGATTGTGATGGCCTTGGATGACAAGCTCCAAGCTGCGCAAAAGGCATACGATGCCTTTGCAGAGAGCCGGTTGTCGGCTGGGACTGTGGCATCAGCTCGAACTGCGGAGAACCCCGGTTGCATGTTTGTTGGTGTGATCCGAAATCCTGAAGCATATGCCATACAGAGCCTTTGACAAAACACACGCACGCATCAACTTTCAGGATGGTTTAGCATGGGTATGTCCACTCCCATATTTACATATGTGATAGACTTATAGGTCAAGTATGTCAAATTTGAGACTGCGTAATAACGTTTTGGGATGCATGGACCTGATGACAGTACAGAGATAAAATTGACCATATATCTATACATGGCAGATTGGTAGTGTGGCTTGCCCAATGGGCTGATTCCACTCAGGACTGCCAAAGAAGTCAAGACGAAAATGCGAGACTGCATGGGCAAGATTCTGGTCTGCATTTGATGGTTCTCGTCTGGGATCCACCTGATTCGTGGAGTTCAGAAACCGGTTTGTCAATTTCAAAACATATCTAAATAACAAACTGCAATGGTGGGAGCATGAGCTTGATAGGACCTGGGCCATCTATGTTCCCCAAACATCTTCCTATACCCCAACCTTTCTGAGGGCAGCGGCGCTGTCGTCGATGGAGGCGCAAGGCAAGCCACTTGCCTGCGCTTTGGGTAGCCCGAATTGCGAAGAATGTATATCATTTGTGCGTGTGCAATGTCTGTCTAAATTGGTTCAAAAATGCCACAGTTGTTCCCAAGTTCGTGTCGGGAGTCAGTTCTGAGGGCGCTCGAGAAGACAATCAAGAAGAAGCTGAAAGAGCTTGCGGAGCAGGAGCAGGAAAAGGAAACATGAATCTGTTTCCTATGATGGGTTGCATCATGAGTGATGCCCAAACTTTTGCTTATTAGACAGCTAGCTATGGGTATGTGGCCGTGTTACAGAAACACGTGCTAGATAATTTGATTGCCCTTGTCGGGTTGGCTTAGTCGTTGCAGGGATCATGAAACTGTTCCCGCTCAATGCGAAAACCCTCGCAAGCAATGAAGAGTTTCGGAAAATGCTTCACTGCCAGCGGATGTACTTCTGACACCGCCAATCCCCCACCCCGCACTGGCACCTCGACAGCCAAGCTATCGCCGGGCCAGGTCCTGAACCTGAGCTCCATGGGCTTGCGGGTATGGTGGGCCGTGGAGTCGAGTCCTCAACCTGGTTCTTTAAAGACTTAATCATGTATGGATTGGAGTGCAACACTTGATGAAAGAACATCTCTTGCGTGGCTTCCCTTCTGGCCCAATCATCTCTATAGCACAGTGCCGCGCACAGCTCTTTTTGTAACCGCACTTTTGAGAAAACTCATCTTCAAAGCTTATATACATGCTTAAATAGCGACATACATATTGTGATCATATGTGCAATCGACGTGCTTCGCTATATGTATCTTGCAACGGAAGTGGAGTGAATATTATGAAAATGAACTTCGTGATACGCTGACCTATGAGTGCCCCATCACTTGCAAAAAACTCTGCTCCCCGCTTCCTAAAAGAAAACCAGCGTCCAGGGTTTCCAAGCTGCAATGTTAATGACGTTCAGTTATATGTGTGCCTTTTCTTAGATGCAATTTTGACGTTTCAAAATTTAAACGAGGGAAACCAAGGAATGTAGCTCCCTTCAAACCTACACCACGTGTTTGTGATGGGATAGTGCCCCAACTGGAAGTGCCTTGCCATAAACGAGGAACATTAATTTGTGCTACCTATAAGGGATGTTTGGCAACAAGCTCAGAAACCCATCATCTATATATGTCCCAAACCTGAGTTGTGAGTCTATATAGACCCTGCACATGAGCACATGCCCTTGCAACCCGCCCTAAAGAAGCAAGAGTAGACATTTACCTAGCCTATGCCTCCTATCCGCAGTGCCACAAGTCTTCTGCTGGAACTATCCTTCAACGGTGTTTGATTGAGGTAGACCGCTTCACGGACAGGATGTCAACAGCGTATTTGACAATTGGGATGACATCCAAACCAGTGGTTCGGTTTTCGTTCTACAAGGAGGACAACTTGACACTGCTCCATGCAACAACAAATTCAAGGCGTTGGTGATGGTGGGGCACAAGTCACAGCATGGATGTCCAAAATGAACGGTTATAAACTTTATAGATGGTGAAGGCCCCCCCACAGATCAAGAACACTACATGTTGGTGCAAGAGCTGACCAGTTGAAATGGGTCAGGTGAGTATCCTTTTCCATGTGCACACATGTATGTATATTATACATATATTGTGCAGGATGTCATTCTCAGTGCAAATTCGACGCGGCACGCATGCAAGCATAGATCGAAGGTGTAACCCTGCACGCATGGCAAGAAAAATGTATGATCCTCTCTATCCCCAAATTCTTCAATTGGCAAAGTTTATGCGTCACAGCACAGTTGCAAGGAGTCAAGAGTTTGCGCAACTGCGTGTCTTGAGTTCTGCATGTGGTGCATGCTTCATGATCTCATTTGTGAACATGCATGCATGCTGCATGCGTCAGTATATCTTGCGGCTGAGGTCAGCTGCCGTGACACGGTACGGCAGGCTCGTGTGACGAGGAACCCAAGCAAAGGAATGAGAGCTCTGGCGCAGGTAAGCTTGCGGAAGAGTGAGAATGGAGCTCACCGGGTGTTCAGAGAATTTGGACAATCTTTGGATATTGCAATCAGCAAAACAGACCTTCCAACAAAATCCGATTATCCTTACATCAAGCTTGGTTCGTGGCTGAAATTCTTGGTGGAGTTTGATGCTTTGGACCAACTCACAGGGGTGGAAGATGTCAAGGAGTTGGGGCCAGTGTTGGCAATGTTTTTGGAAGAGGTATCGAAGCGTTCACGGAGAACATGTCATATTCGAGCGTGAGAGGCAGGGCTTGATTGACTTGACGAAAACGCTACCGTGTCTCCTTCATGGCGACGAGGGAAGATCTTTGAAGAAAAAGCAGGTCATGATTGTATCGCTACATGGGTGCCTGGGTCGTGGTTCGCGACCTTCCAAAGCGCACGTGGAAGGACATGTCGGCAACTTGGAAAGTCATCCTCTAAATCTCAATATGATCGGAGCCACAATCAAATCCCATTTTCCAAGCTTCATCATGCCAGTAAGTCTTTACAAGGATTGCGACAATGCATTTTACCACATGTTGGACTTGGTGGCTGGGGAGCTGAAAGAGCTGTTTGAATGTGGCTTGGAGCTCGGAGGCGGCAAGTTCTTCTTGTGCTGCTTGGGCGTTAAGGGGGACGCTCCGTTCTTGGCAAAGGCAGGCCGCTTCAACCGCTCGTTCACTAGGAGACCGACAAGGCCTAGCTCAAAGAAACCTGCAACGAGTCTTTGCCACCAGTGCATGGCTGGCAATGAGGAGTTGGGGGTTCCCTTTGAGGATTTTGGGAGAGAGGCCGCAGTGGCTCTCGACTGTGGGATCCCTTCCTGCATTTGACACTGCGTCCCCTCTCCTGAAAATCCCATTCGATGACACGGACACGGCGGGCTTCTTTCGGTGGGACTTGTTCCACAACTTCCACTTGGGGCTGGGGAAGACGTTCGTTGCATCGGCTGTATGTTGTGTCTTGGAGCTCTTGAACCCATTGAGTCTTGAAGCTGCATTCAAAGCGCTGACAGAAGACTTTGCAGCATATTGCCAATGGAAGAGACAATCTCCGTATCACAAGAAGTTGACTTCAAAGTTCTTTGGTGTTGAGGCCTCTTTCCAAGACTGGCCGGACGCTGGGTGGAGTAAGGGCGACTTCACTCGGCTCATGTGTCAGTGGTTTGAGGACTACTGCTCCAGGGAAGTTGTTGGGCACACTGAGGACCCGTTGTACTTGAAGTGTGTTGCTATGGCTTTGCAATTGAAATGTTTTTAGTTTGGTTGGGAGGGATGGGATGCATGGCTTTAGAGCTTTAAGTATGGTTACAGTTGATGTAAATGCTGTTGCTCAATGTCGTTCAGACTTCCAATCCCAGGCGGAAGCGGTATGCGATGCAAATTACTTCCTCTCTTCTCTGTACCATCAGGGCCTGTTCTTGCGGGCTCCAAAGGCTGCTGACATTGCCCAACGAGGATTGAAGTTTCTTCGGGAATATACGGTGCTGGCACAGATGAGCTTCAGGAGGAATCAAAAGCGTTTTGCATTGATTCCGAAGGGCCACTATTTACACCATCAGCTGCTAGATCTTTTGCACCAGAGCCGCAGGTGCGACTGGTGCCCGAACTTGCTGTTGTATGGTTGCCAGCTGGAAGAGGATTATGTGGGGAGACCCTCCCGGCTGAGCCGGAGGGTCTCCCCAAAAACCGTGCCGCTAAGGGTTTTACAAAGGAGCTTCCTTGCAATTAGAAGTGCGTTGGGGGATGAAGCCGATGATGCTTCACAAGATGTTCCAACGAAAGGATCTGCTTAATCCAAGTCCAAGTGATCTACATGTTGCATGTATGGCGATGCCAAATTAGAGCGATTGTCCCAAGTCATCTTCCCACGTGTACGAATGTTGCCATGTTGAACGCACACATGTGCATGGATATGTGTGCACATGCAGTCTAAGCTAGATCTAGCATAGCAGATCCAGATCGGCTGAGCTCCAGACTCAAATTGCCAAGTGAGCAGACGAAGGTCCGCTGGGAAACAGCTGCGGTGGCCGTGGAGGGGGGGTGAAGTGGTCCAAGCATGTCCAATCATCTCAAAACACACATGTTGAAAACCAGGTTTTCCCACTCATGACCTTTAAAAAGTAGGTCACCAGAAAAAACCTTTCTTTTTCAAGGTCGCGAGGGCTGATGGTGAGACATAGACAGAGACTCAGACCAGAAAGACGGCATTCATTCTTTCGCCCAGACGGGTCAAACACTTCCGATGTAGGCACGAATTGTCGAGCAGTGTTCACGTACGACCTGTCTGGGTCGCGTCAAACCGGCCGCGGCTCGGGTGGGATGCGGCTCGTGAGCTCCAACGGCGCCGGCGGTGAAAAAGCCAAGGACTCGGCTCACCTTTCTCAGAACTCAGTTTGGATCCGTGGCGCGACCTGTCTTCTTGATGGGACTGCTGATGGCCGTTGCAGTGCATATGCTGGGAAGCCTGTGGTTTGCCGTTGGAGATAGCCCAAGGGGTTGGGTGACGGAAGAAGGTCTCCATGAACAACCACTCACCAGGCAGTACACCAGGAGCTTCCGCGGAGTCCGCCTCAGCAGACCTGTGGTTTCGCCCAACGAAATCAACGAAAACAACATTGGCCAACGGTTTTGGGTGACGTGAGGTGACGAGTTCGCCGAGGCAATCTGCTCCAACGGTTTAGGGTGTTCGGGCCGTTTCTGTTGCTTTGTTGGAACATTGGCCACTTTGGCAGGGAATCATAGCTACTTTAAAGGCAACTAGCAATCCCTTTCACAATCCAACCACATGCTGAAGAAACCGCACTGCCAGGAACTGCTAAAATTTGTTAGTGCCTGACCAGGGTCAGCTAATTTCAGCTATACAATTACTTTACTCTGCTTCAACACACTGACATGTGACAACTAGCCTCCACCCTAGCATCGATGGCCTCCAACCTAATTTGCTATGCCAGGAGCTTGGAATGGGCCTTATCGAAGTTGCCTCCTTCCTCCTTGCGCCTCACCGTGGACCTCAACACGCCCTTGGAACGTTGGCTCGGCGCCTTGGTCCGAAGATCCGGGCGCGCGCTGCGCTTCGGCTCGGCGTCTGCGTTCGCACGATTTCGCACGCACCGAGCGCCATGGTTTTGCCGAGTTTTTGGGGGCAGAATGCAACCATTGCACCATTTCGAGTCCATTTTGCTGAAATGTTCCAATTATATAAGAACGCATCAATCCTTTTAGTGATGGTGCACACACAAGAATGGTGGGGTTTGCCACAAACGTTCTGCGAGCCTCATGGAGGCATCTCAGCCACCTGTGGCATGTTGATCTCTGGATCCATCTTCGTGAGCTTTGTAACCAACACCATGGCCGATGTGGCGCGTGAGAGGAGCCAGCACGGCCGCACTGGCGGCCAGCACGCCGATGGTTGGTGTGTTAAGTTAGCACACTCTTCTGGATTTTCACCTGGCCAGTACACTGGTGGAGCATATATAATATAGACTCATGCATAAAGACTTTGCTTGAAGCAGTCACACAATTAGACAGGTAATTACGTTTGAAAAAATAACAAATAAACATGCACATGTCAGACCTAATTAAGCCTAAGACCCTTATGCATCCTTTAGGTCCAGCAAAAAGAGTTTGAGTTTTTAACTCTTAGATCCTCCACAGCTCGATGCAAGCCCTGGACAAGATACATGCCTCGACCAGGACACGCACAACCAAGATGATTGAGTCGGTCCGGAAGTACTGTGCGATCCACAGTATCTCGTACAGCTACACCATGCAGATGAAGCGCTACGTTCAACAAGAGCATCGGCGCAATGAGATGCAGGGGCACATGCCTTTCCTGCAACACCTTCCAGAGGGAATGATTCGAGAGCTCTTCCAGGAAGCTCGCAGCCCGATCCTGCATCGATGCTTAGCGGAAAATGCTGGGGCGCCAGCGGATCCCAGTGGTTTTGTTCAACCGGTCCTCCAGGCGTTTACACCACTTAGACTTGGGGCGCCACTGGGTCGGAAGAAGGCACATTTCGTGTGAAGGACGTGTTTGAGGACCGAAGCCAAGCCCAGATCTGGTCCGATGTGTTTGTTTGATCCTTCGGGGCAGAATCCGTCGCTCAGTCCTAGAAGTCTAGACCAGTCAGGACATAACTCAGGTCCGATTCTGAAGGTTACTAGTAGCGATGGCCTCCACCCTTCGGAGCCCTGTGGGGAAATTTGGGTTCAAGTTTCGAGAAATCGACCAACAGTCCAGGACCTCTTTACAATGGCTCGTCAGATCTTTGAAGAGGTCCTTCATGGTCCGTAAAACCATTCAGGTTCATCGGGTTCCCAAGCTTTGTTCACTAAGGACATGCCTTTTTCAGAGAGATCGGGCGCTCTGATCCATCCATGGAGTTAAACTTATGCAGTCAGGCTGTCTTTGAGCTTTATCACTTGCCTGGTGACATCATCTTCGACACCACCAGCAAGACCAGAGGGATGTACCTTGCTTGACTAATTGGTTCTGCCTCGGTCGACACTCCAGGGAACTCAATAGACGCCAATTCAACGAGCGATGGCCTCCACCCTAGTAGCGATGGCCTCCAAACTAGCAGTGATGG